ACAAGAGAGAGAGAGAGAACAAAGGAAAGAAAGAAGTATATGAATACTATTCTCATCAAAATATTTAAAATTTCAGTAATCTCATCTTCAGAAAAATATGTTAGATCGTAGTAACAAGGAAAACCATGGATTCGAGCTGACGTGTAGCTCAGCTGGTGGAGTTCCTGCAAAGCACACACAGGTCTGCCCTTGTGACCTCTCTTTTCACTCATGTTTGCCTTGAGGTTCAAGTCTAATGTCAGGCAGCACCACTGCTTGGGCTTTGGGGGGAGGCAGTTGGGGTGGTTTGAATGTAATTGGCCCCCATAAGCTCACAGGGTGTGGACTTGTTGGAGGAAGCACGTCACTGTGGGGGTGGTGTAATGATCGGTGTGTCTCTTTAAGAGACAAGCCACACTCACTCCCTCCCCCATCCGCTAAGGCAGGCTGATCTTCATCTTCCGGCCTGAGCTCACTCCCTTTCCTGTCTTTCTCTTGGAGAGGCAGCTTTGCTTCTGCCTCTTTCCCCACTTCTGCGCTTCCCCGCTTCTTTGTCTCTCTCTTCTCTTCTCTCTCTCTCTCTCTCCCTCTCTCTTTCTTTCCCTTCTCCCTTCCCCCTCCATAACCCCCTGAATAAATATTCAACTTCACTCTGCATGTTGTGTCTATCCATGTCTCTGTCTCCTGCCCACCCGCCTCGTGTCTCCCTGCCCAGGACCACTGGCTGCTCCCAGGGCCCACTTCGACCATTCGGGGACCTACAGCATTTCTGCTGCCTACTGCTGTGGGGGGATCCTGCAGCATTTTTAATTTTTCCATTACAGGCGGACTTTGAGATCTCTTTTGCTTAAGCTTTGCACAGTGCCCCCGTCCACTGCCTGTTGCCTTCGAATCAAGACATAGCCTGTGCCAGGTCTGACTGCAGCCTCCTTGCTTCCTGCAGTGATGATTGTTATTCTTTGCTGTCACTTTAAGAGCTAGCCACGCCCACTCCAGCCACTTCTGACCTCATCGCCATCTTGGCTCTTTCTTTCCTGTCCATCTCTTACTGTCTGCACATGTGTTTTCCCTCTCTCTCTGTGTTTGTCTATATCTCCCCTTCTTTAAGTAATAAATGTTTAGCTTTATGTATAGCCTTATGTTCATTTACTCTGCCATCCACCGCATCCAGCCGCGTGACTTTGCCGCTCGCCCGGGGACCCTGATTCCCCCAGTCGCATGGCGCTGCCACCCTGGAGATCTTGCCGGGACCCACAGCCACTAGCAGCTGCTCCGCGAGCTGCCCAGGACATCCCATCATCATAATAGTTTTAAAAGAACAATATTTGGTGCTGTGACTCGGATTCGAATCGAGGTTGTTGGAATCGACAGTCTAGCTGCCCAGGGTCAAGGTAGGCCTGTCTTCCTAAAGATTCCTTAGTCCACAGGGTCTTCTAAAGCTTGGCAGGCTCTACATTAAACAACAAAGGTCAAATACAACCTTCAACAACCAGGGAGAACCCAAAAAGAGTATCTCTGGGTGCCAACCAAGTAAGTTCTCTATCATTGTTTAATCAATAACTCAAGTAAAATCTTATCCTTCTCAAAGATCTCTGACAGTCTGATAGCTAAGAGGTTTTGCCAGGTTATCTCACCAAATAAAAATACTTTTCATTATAATTTCTGTTTTTACAAACCCAAGGAGTTCTTAATACAATGTATATATCTAAAACTTCTGTTTTTCTTATAAGTTCCAGGGAGCCAAATTAAAAAACCCATCATAAACAGGTCAGATACAAACCCCTCAATTCCCTGGTCCTAAATTTTTTTTTCTCAATTTAACTTTGTCCTCTGTTCTGCCAACACCTTAACCAGGTACAAGGGACACCAGACATTTCCATGCCACAGACACCTGTCCTGTCGGGAGCAGAGACCAACTATGCCAGGATGTGACCAGCACCCAGCTTCTCTCGGATCCCCCACACCTCCCCCCCAAAGACGACGCCCACAAATCAGCTGGAAGCAGTCTTGGGAATTCGCTGCCCCAATTCCTTCAACCTGTAATGTCTAACCTTCTACTTTTTATTATAAAAAGGATCCGGGAATGTTAGTCTTCTGCTGCCACTTTAAGAACTAACCACACCCACCCCAGCCACTTCTGACCTCCCACTTCGCCATCTTTCTCTCTCTTGTGTGGTTGTCTCCTGTCGTGTGCACACGTTTCTCTCTGTCTGTGTCTTTATGTCTTTATATTTGTCTATCTCTGTCTTTCTGTTTTTCTATTTCTTTTTAAGTAATAAATGTTTATCCTTATGTTTATTTACTATGTCTTGTGAGCCTTTTATCCGCCGTAACTGCCCGCCTGACTCCCCCGGCTGCATGGCGCTGCCACCCTGGAGACTAGAAGCTGCTCCGCGAGCCGCCCGGGGCCATCCCACCATCATTATTTTTAAAAAGAACAATAATGATGACGGACTGAACCTCTGAACTGTGAGCGGTCACATCAGTGACATGTTTTCCTTTGTAAGAGTTGCTGTGGCCATGGTGTCTCTCAGAGCAATAGAAACCCTAACTAGGACAGCAGCACATAGGAAAGGAATACATGTCTGACCAGGATGTCACATATTAATTCAGAAAAGAGAGAAGGGGAGAAGACGGTGAGTGGAGGGGCGGGGCAGGAAGGGCAGGTCTGCTCTTGAGGGGTACACGCCCAATGACCTAACGTCCTTCCCATAGATACTAACTCCTGAGGTCCCATAGCTCCTCTTGGTGCTCCACTTGCTGAGGTTTGGGAAGGTTTGGGATATTCTTCTAAATCTTCCTTTCATCCCATGCAATTCTTCAGAATTTTCATTTACTTGTAACCTAACTTGTGTGGCCAAGCCCTGTCTTATCACAGTTACAATACAGCTTTATTCAAAGAGATAAAGAAGATACAGTTGTTAAATATTTAATTTCTTCAGTTCGTGCTTCTGTATCTACACTGTCATTTCATGCTTTCTTAACATATCCCCTACAGAAAATAGAATGACATCTTCTTTCCAAGTTCTCGGTTCATTTCACAATCATGTGATTACAGATAAAGAATTTGGTGTTCTGGGAAGGAAGCCATGCACCTACCATGAACCCCATATTTAGGCAGCAACCAGCTGATGTGGCATAGGATTTGTGCAAGTGGCACCTGTAAGAACATAACATGATTTTCTGTCCAAAAGCATGCATGTATGTGCATATGTGGTCATATAATTACATGGATACATATGTTTACCATAAAACAAAGTAGAAAACCCATTTAAAATGGCTGTATCCCACCATATGCCCATCACACCTTTCCTTTAAGCACTGGTCTCACAGCCTCACAGAATATGACACTGTTTTTATTGCTCCAAGGAATACTGAATTTATTATTGGAATTATTGATTATGAATTATGATTGGAACTGTTGAATGAACATTTATGTAGGGGATCTCTTTCTGATAAAGAATTTACATTGCAATATAAAAGAGCTCTTACAACTCAGAAGAAAACAGGTAAGGGCTAGAGAGATGGTTCAGTCGTTGGGAGTTCTGACTGCTCTTCCAGAGAACCCAAGTTCTATTCTCAGCACCCACATGGCAGCGCACAACAACCTGTAACTCTAGTTCCAGAGGATCCAGTGCCCTCTTCTGGACTCAGCGGGCACCAGGCATGCACATGGTGCACAAACATACTTGTGGATGAAGCAGTCATACACATAACATTTAAATTAATTTTTAAACAAACAAACAAAAAACCAAGAAAATAATGGGCCAAAGGTACCAACCGGTACTTTACTAAAGGAGGCAGATCAGGGCTGGTAAGATTACTCAGTGGGTACAGGTGTTTGCTGCCAAGTCTCACCCACTGCATTGGACCCACATTGTAGAAGGCAGTAAAAGACCTCTGACTTCCACACACGTCACAGTGAAAAAAGATAACATGCTCTCAAAATTTACCCTCTGACAACCTGTGTATGTGGCAGTGTACATTAAAATTTTCTAAGATATTACTTAATGCTACATGCAATTGAATCATAAATATGTTTTTATGGAACTCTGTGTGCTTGCATGAAATGGAGTTTCTCTTTCATTGTTCTGAAGACCATGTTAATCGAAGCGTTATGTCCTTAAAATGGTGTGTTTGTGGACTGTTGTGGACTATTAGCTGAAGATGTCGCATCTGTTTATGCCTTGGAACATTTGTTTAATGATGCAAGGGTGTGTTGCATTCTTTTTTGTTGTATTTGTGAAGCTGTGTTACTTTGCCTGTCTAAAACACCTGATGGGGCTGGTAAAGAGCTGAGTGGCCAATAGCAAGGCAGGAGAAGGGATAGGCGGGGCTGCCAGACAGAGAGAATAAATAGAAGGAGAAATCTGGGAGAAGATCATGGAGCGAGAAAAGGAGGAGAGAGGATCTCAGGGGCCAGCCACCCAGCTACATGACAAGCCACAGAGCAAGAAGTAAGAGAAACAGAAAATAATTTAAGCCCAGAGGCAAAAGGTAGATGGAATAATTTGAATTAAGAAAAGCTGGCTAGCGACAAGCTAAGCTAAGGCTGGGCATTCATAAGAAAGATTAAGCCTCTGTGTATTTATGTGGGAGCTGGGTGAACCCCCAAAAAGTAATCAGTAAAAATACAACAACAGGGGACAGACGTGCAAGAGATAGGATTGTTGTTTACCATTACTACCAAGTCAATGAGTATCCCTGTGAGCATGTTTCTAGAGAGGTTTCATTGAGGAGGGATGATCCCCCAACTGGGGTAGCACCATCCCATGGTGATGAAAAAGATATTTGAATGGTACTGGAGACAAGGCTCAGAGGTCAAGAGCACTGGCTGCTCTTCCAGAGGACCTCAGTTCAGTTCCCAGCAACCACATGGTGGCTCACAATCATCTGTAATGAGATCTGGTTCCCTCTTCTGGCGTACAGGTAGACCATCATATATACATATACATAATAAATAAAATCTTTTTAAAAATATTTGAGTAATGTAAAAAAATTAAAATTTTGACTATAAAGAATATTTTCATAAGCAGCTAAGAAATTTGATGCCTAAACTAATTACAGAGTTTACAGGCCATCCATTACTTTCAAGGTGAGAACCTGATTGTTTTTTCCTCATAGAAACACAAGCAGGGAGAAGCTGGATCATTGTCCTAATTCCCAGGCACCTAAGTTACCACAATCGTGGCTAGTTGCCAACTGGATGCTTTTTCCACCAAGTCTTCCCATGGTGGTCCTTGGTGTGCTCTGGGCCTGAGGCCTGAGGAAACTGAAGGACCTATTGGAAGAAAAGGTACACAGATAAAGGTATCAACAACAAACAGAGAGGAAGGAATATGTGCTAGCAAAGACGTTGGTCCCAGGAAGATAACTTCTTCTCTATAAGCTTATAACCCACTTGGACCCATTCAGCCTGTGGCTGTGCCCAGTGTCTAAACTCAGCACATCTGAACATGTTTTCTGATTCGCTCAGCCTGCCCATTTTTTTATCCCAACTCTGGCTTTAGGATTCTGTTGCAAGACAAAACTCTAGGGCCCAACTGGACTCGATTCCGATTTTTTAAGAGCCTACTTTGGGCCGTGTGTTAATGTCATTTCCTAGTAGTCTTCTTGGCCCTAAGTCGATGGGAACATTGGGAACAAGCTCAGCGTTGTTCTTGTCTCATGGCTTATGGACTCCTGACTTTAAGTAATAAAAATTACATGTAAATTATGCCAAAGTAGTTTTACTGGGTATAATTACATGCCAAATAACAACAGCAACAACAATAATAATGTACTAAGTACTGTGTATTTCAGTAGGAAATCCAAAGAATTGTATTATACCTCAGGAATGATGAACACTCAGAAACTACATAACATCGATCAGATCTGTCAGTTTTTTCAAGGTGAAAAGTGGGGGAAAACCCTACTTACTGTCTTTGAATCTGATAAAAGTAAATATAATGTCTACAAAGAAACCCATTCCTTTGTATAGTAACTTAAAGTTAACAGAAAGCTAAATGTTTGCTTTTTCAAAAAACAGTCATTAGTAGATCTAATTAGAATTCACAAGAATCAACAGGATAGTAAAGGTTTATGACAACTTTTATGCATTAAAGGAACCCACACATGTTTAGGTTAACACATCAAATATCAGCTGATACTAGAAATACCCACCCTGTGATACAAATATGTAAATCAATCTAAATCACAATGGAAAGTCTGATAGACAGTTAAGTTAAAAATGGCTAGAAAATTTTCTAGATGTTAGGAATAAAGGTTGAGTAGAAAATGGGAGGCAGAGACTGGTGAGGGTGAACAAGTTTAAAAACCATGATGGTAACCTCAGCATTGAGAAGACAAGAGGCAGATATCTGTGTTCTAGGCAAGCTTGCTGATCTATGCATTGAGTTCAAGGTCAGGCAGGTCTACATAGTGTGTCACTGTGGCAAAAAGCAAACCAAAACAAAATTTGTAACCCTACAGTGACCATACACATGATGGTTTACCAGGACTAAGACTTTTTCCTACCAGCTTCTCCAGAGCAATTAATACTAATATAAAATTCAATTTCCAAAGCACTGACTTTAATAATTTGCTATCAGCTCTTGCTAGCTCAAGAGATAGTTTGAAATCTGATACTATGCTCATGAATGTGATGTTGGGACACATACAAGCAAACTCTAAGAGCACCCTGACCAAAGTGTGACTAAGTTGGTTGCATAGACGCAGGAGTTTCAAGGGGATGACTAGTCTGTGATATGGAATATGGGATACGGATATGAGATATGGGAAAATCTCTGTCCTTGACCACGCTTATGAATCAGCAAGAGTTTATTCTCCATTGAGGCTCTAAAACGGAACAAAGTCATAGCAAGCCAGCACTTCAGCTTATGGTTAGCTGTGGAGTACAAATTCGTTCTGTGTGCTTGCCTCAAATGATCATAAGCAGATGTCTGAATGGTAATCAATCAGGATATAACAAAATCCACTCAATCTAAGCAAATGTAAAACTGCTTAGATTGAGTGGATAAGATTGTATGTCCTAAGCACACACCAGCCAACTGCGCTTTGTTGGAGATGAATTTACAGTTTGAAGAAATGAGCCACTCCAAGGAAGCATTGGTAGAGACGACAAATAGAATTTGTACAGCAAGGACTAGAGAAGGGACACAGTCTTCTCATGAAGACACCGTGAAGTCACGAAGGAATATAACCGCAGTGAAAGATGAAGAGAGGATTGTTAGTAAGAGCAGGAAGATCTGTAGGAAAGCCAAGCAGAACTGCCTTGCAAATAAAATACATACTCAAAAAAATAATAAAACATGAAAACAGCAGACGGAAAGTTCTAATCGTTTTTCTTTCATGAGTTTATCGAAAGCATTGGTAGTTTGAGATGCTGTGGTCTGGAAATTAACTCTTGAATACAGAGGAATTCTAGATTAGTTTTTCCTCATTGGAAACGCATGTAGAAGGTAAATGTGTTTTACATTTTAGTTGTTGTTTGTTTCAATTTACTTCAAACTCTAATTTTAAGTTCAGGATACCACACTACACTTATTGCACACTTGGCAGCTTTTATTGAATTTCCCATGGTAGTAAATTGACATTAAAGTTTGGTGCCTTGACAGTCCTGTAAAGGAATCCCTTGGCTAAACCATGCAGTGTAATAGGCCATTAGTTAATCTAATGATCATGTTAACTATGTTGGACCAGTACATAACCCAAAGCAAAATAACTACTTATGATGGAAAGTTTTATTTATTGGACTTACAAAGATCTGTTATTAGACTGAGAACCAAGATGAGAATATAGTTATTTCAGTAATACTAAACATCTCATAATATCACCATTACATAAACAAAGTGATCTTATTATAAAAGTTCAATATTTCAAGTTAGACTTTAAGGCACTTAATATATTAATAATTTCTACCTTAAGACAAAATGTGTTAAGCATAAATTATATAATAATGGAACTAAATGCCTTAAAGTGTTAACAACTTTACCAAAAAAAAAAAATACTAAAAACAAATAAATAGTGGTGGGCATTAATTTGTTCCCTGGTATTTGACAGTGTACTGCTTAGGTGCAGTTTTTTGTTTTGTTTTGTTTTGTTTTTAGGAAATAACTAGAAAGCAGTAGTGAACAAAGTGGGCCTAGAGGAATTTGCCAATACTCACAGCTCTTGGGAGGCTGATGTAGTAAGACCGCAAGCTTAAGGCAGGTCAGAGAAACTCAGCCCTGCTCTCTCTCCCTTGCTTCCGGCTCCGCTTCCGGCTACTAGACTCCTTTCCTGGTCATGCAGAGGGCTGATGTCTAGGACGGTTGTAAGATTTTTCCTTTGAATAAATAACCCCTTTATTAATCATAATTCCAAACTGGTGTGGGATTGTTTTGTGACTGATGCCTCCATAGTTAGACCTGACGTAACGCGAAAAGCTAAACAGTTTTGGGGGCCTCAAGAGATAACTTAGTCAATACGGTGTCTGCTGGATAAGCATGAGGACCAGGACCCACATTTGAGCTGGGCATGGTGGTCCATATGTATAACCCAGAACTACAGAGGTGGAGATGCTGGATCTCGACCTCCTCAGACAGCTAGCCTTGGCCAACAGGTTAGCTGCAGGTTTAGCAAGAGACTGTCTCAAAACTTGAAAAGAGGGGTGACAGAAGACACCTGACAACATACATCCTCTGGCCTCCAAACACACGTACAAACATGTAAATACATAGCCACATGCCCACACTCACACAAGAACACACAGACTCAAGCACACATGCATTCACACACAGGCATGAACACACACGAACACACACACACATCCTTTGATTTCTCTCTGGACGAGGGTAGTATGCCCACCCACGCACTCTCTGTAGCTGAGGTAGGTTTTGAGTTCCAGATCCTTCTGTTTCAACTTCTGGAGTTCTGAGATTACACACAGGTCCAACTAGAGCTGTTAGAAAGGGTTGAGATGTAAATCCGTTGTAGAGTGCTTGCCTAGCAGACAGGAAACCCTGAGTTTAATCACAGTAAAACACTCTCTCCCTGCTCCTCACTCTTTCTCCAAAGCAGTGGATGTTCAAAAGTAGTGTCCTTGTTAGGTGTCCCATATGGAGCTGAAATCAAAAATCATTGCACTGCTGAGCTGGAGAATCCTGTCAGGGACTGGGGTGCTTGACCTTTTAAACCTAAACGGGAAGAGCAGAATAGAAAAATACACTTGGAAGGGGAAAAATAGCATCAGCGTCCTCTTAAATGACCCTATTTGGTGGCATCTATTTGAATTCTGAAGCTTATAGATTGAAAGATAGGATAGGGATCCCTTTCCAAATATACCTTGCTCTACAATGCTGAGTTTGTGTTCAACCTGAACAACATAGTGAGATCCTGTATCAAAACCAAAAGCAATCAATAAAAGGAAAATTCAATATTAACAGTTTTTTTCAAGCTCACAACTGATAAGAAAATACTATGTAATAGAAAAGCAAGTTAAATTAGAATTTGTTTATGTTAATCTTGTTCTTTTCTATATTATGTAACTGAAGCTCACAGTGGCAAAATAACTTGACTAAACTTTTGTAGAGACTTAACAGACAAAAGGAGATCAAAGGCCAGATCTCCTGACTGCCGTCCAGGCTTCACTGGGACACAGAACACTTGCCTGGGGAGATTTGGAACTCACAAAGATTTTATGTAACCATGTAATGTTAGTACATTCTAAACACATATTATATAACATGACTAAACACATTTTTTTTTTAGGAAGAAAATGAGCCAAATGCTATTTAAGAGGTCACTGAAGTTCAACAAATGCTTACTGAGGGTTCATTAGTGTTGAGTGTTTCAGACATTTAAGGTTTATTAATGAACAAAATGAAGAAGACCCATCATTTTACTGGTTTATATTCTAAGGGGCTTAAACATATTAAGCATAATAGATCTAAGTATGGAAATTATATTACAAATGGTACAATAAAAATGGGCAGAATGGCTGAGACGAGGGTGCAATGGGGGGTGTTTTTGAGGCAGGGTCTCTGTGCAGCTCTGGTTAACCTGAAACTCAGTGTATAGACCATCAGGCTGTCCTGGAACTTGTAGAGACCCTCCTGCCTCTGCCTCCTGAGTTCTAGGATTACGGGTGAGCACTACCATGCCCGACATGGTGGGTGCCATTTTTAACAAAGAGGGAAGGATTTCTTTTTAAGCAGGGTGATGGGATCAGCCTCATTGAGATGATAGGAGATTTAGGTATGTGTAAAACGGGTGAGTGTTGAAGTGGGATTCCCCTCTGTATGCTATGAATGTATTTCATTACCATTGGTTATTAAAGAGGCTGTTTCGGTCAATGGCTTAGTAGAGTAAAGCGAGGCAGGAAATCTGAACAGGGATACAGAGAGAAAATAGGCAGAGTCAGGGAAAGACCATGTAGCTGGCAGAGGAGGAAGCTGCCAGCTGCCAGCCAGAACCTTCCCAGTAGGCCACAGCCTCGTGGTGATTCATAGATTGGTAGAAATGGGTTACTTTTTACTTTAAGTTAGTCAGAAGCAGGCAGCACAGAACTTTTTTTTTCTTTTTTGATTTTTTTGAGACAGGGTTTCTCTGTAGCTTTGAAGCCTGTCCTGGAACTAGCTCAGGTTGGCCTATAAGTCACAAAGATCCACCTTCTCTGCCTCCCTAGTGCTGGGATTAAAGGCGTGCACCACCACCGCCCGGCTGCTGCAGCACAGAATTCTAGGAGCTTGCTTGGTGGGAACTGAGGGAGGCGTGAGAGGAATGAGAGACTATGGAAAACAGCTGATGTCTGCTATCCTAAATCAGGGAAAGGTACATTGGGAGGAGAGATCTTAAACAGAAGTAACTTTGTCAATAAAACAAAAGCTACACATTTTCTATTTAGGCCATAACTATGAAAAGCTAAAAAAAATGTGCATAGAGACTGGGCATACAGCTCATTTGTTAGAATGCTTGGATGTGCATACATCTAGCACATAGAATGCTCTGGGTGGGATCACTAACCCATGTCAATCAGGAGTGTCAATCAGGAGTGGTGGCATATGTGTATAATCCCAGCACTGGGGAGGCGAAGGCAGAGGACCAAAAGTTTAACATCTTTAGCTATGTAGTAAGTTTAGTGAGTTGAGGGCCAACCTAAAATACACAAAAACCCTGCCTCAAAAAGCAACATAACAAAATAACAACAAGAAGATAAGTCTGGGGGGAAAAAGAAAAGAGTAAAGTTCTTTTTCAGATTTTTGACTCAATTTCAAATATTAGAATGAAAATGTTTGAACAAAGGGAAGTTGAGGTAGGAATGACGGCTTGGTCCTGTCATCCCAGGACTCGGGACACAGAGGAATGGGGAGTGCTGTAAATTTGAGGCCAACCCCGTTAACAAAGTGACTCTCAGTCTAGTCAGGATGATTTAGAGGTACTCCCCCTCCCCTCAAAGAGAGAGGGCCAGTTTGACAGTTTTTTCAATTCATTGCTAACGGTTCCGTAATTGTGTGGTTTGAATGATGGGCCTGAGGTTGCACCCATGGAAACTTTTAAACTTCATTGGCAGTGGAGGGGGCAGAGTAGGGGAAGAGCTCCAGCCCAACCATAAGAGCGTGTTAGCAACGCTCTGGTGTTCTAATGTGCAGCCGTGGTTAAGAAACACTGCTCTGCTCCAAGAGCAAACCTGGTTCCTCCCATTCCTGCCCCCAACAACTGCTCACTTCTAATCAGAACTACTCCTTTCCCTGCTACCCAGAGCTCCAGAATCACAAATCCTACCCGCAGGAGTCCTGGGAACTCTATTCCACTAGACGTCGTGAGGGGCTTTCTGCCCCTCTGTGAGGTCCTGCCAGCAACACACAGCACCACGTGTACAGAGGCATTGTGATAATGGAAGAGGAAGGGAGGAGGGTACCAGCACAGCTGGCAGCAGGTGCTCACCAAACCTGGAGAACAGAGCTGTCCAGTACCCACTCATACGGTTTGGTATTGTTATGATAGAAAAGTATTCTGTCTCAATCCTCAAAAAAGCCCATTTCCTACATGTGCCTGGATAAATGTGTGACATGGATGAAGTGAGCTGACTGGAATAAAACAAAACAAGAGGCTCCCCAACCCAACCTTCTCCAACCTTCCAATCTTGCTACCTAGGGACAACCACTGTTTAAAACCCTCATACCTGTAAACATATGCTCATGATGCTAATTCTTGATTATTGTTAGTGCCTAAACCTCACGACACAGATTTAACACATTAAACTATCAAAATTTCTCCACCCACAACACCTAATTCTATCACTGTTGTTAGTTTTCCCACTGATTACATTTGTGACTTTAAAACCCGTTTCAATTCATATTTATTTCAACTATAGGCAGTCTATCCTCACCTCACAAGACAGCTTTGTACCACAAACTCCTAATTTTCCATGCTTTTTTTATATTACAGTGTTTATCACTTGCAACCAGCTCGGTGAGGATAAGGAAGAGCTCCTTATTTAAAGAATTGTAAATCTGAAAATGGGCGGGTGTTTACTTTGTCTCTATGCAAACATCATTCCCTGTCCGTTTCTGTCACAAAGCCACCTCAGCTGGTTTTAAATGCAGTTTTACTTCTGTCTTTAAAGGCTACTTTTATGGCAGCATTATCAGGGCAGATTCTTCAAATATTTCCAGGGCGCTATCATAGCGAGGAACTCCTTTTTATTATAGACAATCACCCTTACATCCTTGTAGTCTTTTGATCTAGATAGGAGGCCTCCAAGCTCAAGCCATTACCTGGAACTTTGAAAGAGTTCCCTTCTAAGACTCTGTCCTATTGATTACAAGTTGTCTGCTAGTCTGGTTTTCACTCCCTTGTAGAGCATGTCGATGCTTGCTTATTCTGCTCTTCCTGAATCCCACAATATACCTTAATGCATGGATTTGTCTGCTCAGTGCACAATAATAGGCTACCTGCTTCTTCAGACTGTATCCCCTTTTTCTTTTCTTTTGTTGTTGCTTTTTTGAGACAGGGTCTCTCTATATGAAACCCTGACATACTGGAACTGTCTATGGACCAGCTGGCATCAAACTCTCAGAGATCCACCGGCCTCTGCCTCCCAAGTGCTGGGATCAAAAGCATATGCCACTACCTGCTTTTTACTTTTTATACATTTTCTTACCATGCATTTCATCCAAAATCTTCTACTCTCATTTTCTGAAAAAATTACATAAAACCTGTTATCTTTTGCTGCATGAGGTATCTGTTTTTGTTTTCTCTTATCTTATAGTAATGCATACAGCACCCATATAGAGTTCACAAGCTATAAAATACGTATCTCTCCTAACTTCTGTTCATCCCTTCCATTCAGTTCAAAAGACACCCAACCTCAGCCCTTCTGAGGTCACTTGGCTGCTATCTGTGTGTTCTACCACAAGCCAGGTTCTGCTGCACAACAGTGAACAAAGAAATGAAGTTCTGACCTACAACACTAACTTTGTATCAGAGAAAGGAATAAAACATATTAAAATAACACATGTCAGGCATAGCTGTAGACTGTCTGCAACTGCAGCTTTCTGATTGGGCACACAGCTTTTCATTCAGACGGCGATGGGATCTTACAGTGTAACTTGGGGATTTTTCTGAATCCTACCCACATTAGGGTCTCTGCTCTCTTATGATTCTCTAGAGAAACCTGTATGAAACATAATGCATCAAATTATTTTTCTTCTGTAAATTCTCTGCAGCTGAACTGGACTGTTGCAAAATTAACAAAATATCTTAAAGGGAAGGCTCTGTGAGATTTCTGTCCCCCAAAATCAAACTGCAGGGCCAAACCTCACCTGGTCTTCAGCACAGCTTCTGTCCTTGTTTTGTATGGAATCATGGATGTTCTCTTAATGCTTGCTACCTAGGCTGAGAAGATGACAATTCCTGCATCATCAGATGCTGACCAAGGTTTCCTGTCCCGCCCTGTCCGGCAGCCGTTAAGTCCCAAAGAATCACACAGAAGTCTACATTAATTATAAACGGCTTGGCCCCTTAGCTCAGGCTTCTTATTAACTGATTCTTATATCTTATATTAGCCCACAATTCTTGTCTGAGTTAGCCACGTGCCTTGGTACCTTTTTTTGGCGGGGCAGTCACATCTTGCTTCCTCTGAGATTGGGTCACGACTGGAGACTGAAACTTCCTCTTCCCAGAATTCTCGTTGCCATGCCTCTACTTCCTGCCTGGCTACTGGCCAATCAGTACTTTATTAAAAATAATACAAGTGACAGGATGAAAGACCATTGTCCCACAGCAATCAGAGGTAGGCACAGCTGCTTCTGGTACCAAGAAGAATCAATGCCCTAGATGACAGCAAATTTGAAAGCCATCTCCGGCTTTAAGTTAATAAAAGAATACCCTTTCTAGAATCTTTCCTGGAACTCTCTGAGTATTCTGTGGTCAAATTACTGGCTTTTCTGAAATGGTCCACTGCCAGTTGTCCAGAGTCTACAGAACACAACTGTGTGTTTTGAATGATTAAAATACTTGTTTGTAGAAAGTGCAAAAACGTACTATCTTGGCTCCCACTGGCATTCTATAATACCACACATTAAAAGGCATAAACAATAGGAATTTGTTTTCTCACAATTCTGACACATTCAGAACGATAGGGGCTGGAGAGATGGCTCAGTCATTAAGAACTTTAGGGCAGGAGTTGGGCTCTCAGCATGGACTGGACTGGGCAGCTCCCAAATGCCAATCACTTCGGCTTTAGCGGAGTTCCACACTCTCTTATGGCTTCTGTATGCTCCTGAACTCATGGACTCATTCCTTACCCACATACCCTGTACAGCCGTGATTAAAAATATTCGTTAAAAATACATTAAATACAAACCAAAGTAAACTTGAAATCTGATGTATCCACTTTATTTTTTCTGCAACTATTGAAAAACAAAAAATGCTACAATTTAAAAACGAAGCCATAAAGGAAAAATGTATAAAAAGACAATGGCATGAATATTAGAAGTGTAATCTTATGTGTCACACTTTTGATGCAAAAAAGCTGTCCTCTTAAAGGGCACACGAGGAATTATTCTGGAGCTACTATGAGTGACCATGGCCTGGGAACACAGATTTAAATGCCCTCAAATTTCATGGTTCAACGTGAAACAGTTTCATGATGTTTTACAGAACAAAGAAATCAAGGCACGTTTAAAATACATTGGCATATTTTACTAAAGTACATCAGACCGACAGGCAGGCTGGCCAAGATGCAGGAAGCTTTACTGTAGTCTCAGGATGCTATCTAACCGCATTCTTAGCTTTGGACTGGTGAAAGTCAGTGGTCTGCTATGTTTATAGGTTCCGAAAGGTACTTTATCTCCTAGTTACAAGGTTTTTAGTACACACCCAAAGGCATCAAGTCAATGGCTATTCTGCTACGCTAGAACTAGCCCAAGATCAGGTGATGAGCCTCTGGCCCTGCAGCAATCCCAGCTTTCCACTCTATAGCAGTTATAGTCAGTCTCTGCAGACACAGCTAGCTTCCTTCCAGAAATCCTCCTTCACCACTGGCAATACATTAAAAATAAAATGAACTGCCATATTGCTATTATTTCAAAGAGGAGAAGAACATAGTTCAAAAAAACTGGTGAATACACTGCAGGCTGAGTTCTTTCTTTTTCTTTTATGAGGCAGGGTCTCTCATAAAGCCCTGGCTGCCCTGTGTAGACCACGCTAGACTTGAACTCACGGAGATTCACCTGCCTCTGCCTCCCCAGTGCTGGGATTAAAGGTGTGGGTCACTGCATCCTGCCAGGTTGATTTGCTTAAAAAAACCCAGACTCCAACATTTTGAAAAACTTAAAAGAGTGCTTCTTTCAAAGACAGAAACACGGGCGTGTTTTATTTGTCCCAAACAATCAGGACTTCCTGGGAGGAGGACCGGCCTCTGTGTGTAGAACAGCAGGTAGTCAATTGCTTCTACGGTGTCCACCCCCACCTCTCAACTTTGGAGAAATACCAAACAGAATGCAAGCCCGATCCAGAATTTTCCTGCCTGCCAATAGAATCGCAGACACCTGGGAGAACTCAAAACACTTCCTGGCCCTGCCCCTTTCCCCAAACATCTCCGCAGGGCCGAGGCCTTCCCCACCCTGATCGTGGGGGCCGCGCTCTTTAAGGAGGGAGGCTGAACGCGGCCAGGAGTAGCGCCGGGCGAGCGGCCGGCTGGAGCACCCGTGGTTGGCTCGGCTTTCGGGGTGCCCGCGATGCGAGGCCGTGGGCTCAGGTGGGTGTTCGTGGCGGGGCTTTCGCCGGCTGCAGCCGGAGGGAGAAGCCCCCAGGGCGCGGATACCCAGTGCCCGCTCTAGTCCAGGTGCGAGCATAGGCCTCGCGCTGACCCGGACCGCAGCGCCACGGCCCTGCGCGTCTCCCTCCGTGGGCCCGCCCCTCGCC